CTGTGGGAGAGAACACACAGGGTCTCGGTCAGGAAGAGCGATGGACAGCCCCGCCTCTTCCGCTGTCTGCCTGAGAGCTGGGACAGGGACGATGCTATCTGTCCTGGGAGGCCTGGGTGACAGACAGGCCGGATATTTAATACCCAGTCCTCCCTCCCGAGTGTGTTCTCTCCTTCACCCCAATTTCCGGGTGCAGAACAAAGGGAGTCTGCGTGGGCTCCCCGACCCCCACACACTCCACGCCTTCCCCAGGCTCAGGGCCAGGCTGTCAGGAGAGGCGCCCCTCGGGTCTGACCACCCAGATCCAGCTGATGTCACCCAGCGGCACACAGAGGACACGGCCCTCCCAACCACGCACAGACCCTCAGAGAACACAGCGGCTGCCGTGGTCACGAAGCCAAGTCATGAAAATCCACACAGCTAAGAAAAACCATCAGCTCCCTGCACGAAGCCGAGGCCCGCGGATTCCCATTTTGCACCAAATATCTGAAAGCAGAACTGTGTAGCCGCAGCCTTTGAGCTGATGGAAACAACCAAAATCGGAAGCAATTTTTAAAAACCACATTGTTTGACTCTGTTCTAGCTAAAATGAGCTTTGTAACCGTATGACTGCAGAAGGAGATGGAGGGGCCAGGTTCACCAGGACCCGGCTGTGTCCCCGTAAGTCAAGGAAGCCAAGGGTGGAGGAGGGGCAGACCCAGACCAGGCTGCGCGGCCCAGATTTGATTTACTCTGATTAACGGACGTCGGCCAAGCACCTCCAAGTTCCCGAAAGTCCTCAGGCCCGAGGGTAAATAAGATCACGTCCACCCAGGCGCAGCGTCTGGCCAGGAAGGCCAGAACACGCGTGGATAATTTTAACCCAGGCCGGAGGCTAATGAGATTTCAAGCAGAGTGAGGAGGAGCCGGGGAAGGAGGCTAGACAGAGCGGACGTCGCCTCCCCGCTGATTTAATGACAGCTCGGAGGCAGGAGGGGCAGGCGGAGGTCACCACAGCCAGAGCCGCAGCCTCAGACGCAGGGCTTAGGGCCACCTGCCCACACGCCACAAGTCACACCAGCCGCTGCCCTGACCCCGAGCAGCCTTCAGCCGGGCAGGAGCCTGGAAATGCCACACGGGCAGCAAACTAAGCAGGCTCCTGGGGTAGAATGGACAAAAAGAGCTTCGCTCCTCTGGGCACGAGTGACTTCTCCAAAGGTTCTCAGCCCGGGCCACAACCAGCTGCCCCACCTGAGCTCCGAGGAGGAGTGAACGGGACCGGCAGGTGCCGACCCAGCAGGCCGAGCCCAGTGCCGTTCCTCGCCAGGTCCCCTGGTCCCCTGTTCCTGACTAGAAAAGACCTGCACACCCCTATCCCCCACCTGAGATGCTGGCAGAGGCAGAGGGGTCTCCATCTCCTTGGAGCTGGCTTTGAACAAGTCCTTTGGCCTTTTTACCAAAATAAATGTTTTCCTTTGGTTGATCCCTGAGCATAAGGACCTCAGTGGCTGGGAACACAAAGACCTGCAACACTGGCCAGCAGGAGCTCACACATGAGATCCCGGGGCTCCCCCAGGCCAAGCGCACCCATGCCCCCATCCGTCTCCAGCAGTCAGTACTTCACCCCCAAATCAGGCAGCTCAGGAGGACTCATCCCACTGAAATGCAAACTTCACCGAACACAGAAATAAAATGCAGAAGATTATGCAAGTGGCCAAGATTAACCTTAAAAAGGAAATAAATCTAGCAGGGCCCCTCAGAGAGCCTCCACAAATCCCAGCGAGATGCTGTCACAGGAGGACGGAAGACAAAAGCAGTTCTTACAGATTAGAAGACATTGCTAAAATGTCTCAGGCCACAAGGGGCAGAGCACACCTGTCATCCCGGCACTCGGGAGGCTGAGACGGGAGGATCGCTGTGAGTTCCAGCCCCGCCTGGGCTACAGAGCAAGATCCCGTCTCAAAAATGAACACATAAAGTGGTGATTTTTTTTTTTAAAGAAAAGCAATTTTAGATGGTAGTTTGGGTAAAGTTGAGAAGAGCTCCCAAAGTGACAAAAAATACTTAAAACTGTAAAACTCAGTTCCACACAGCCAACTGTTACCCATACGATTTTCAGAAGGGAAAAATGTGGAGAAGGGAAGTGTCAGTAAAAGATAATAACACTTTCTGATGAGAGCAGCTCCAGGCGTGAAGCACTCCAGGAATGGATAAAAAGCCACCATCCCAAAGGCAGCAGGAGAACACGGGGGCGGAGACACTTCCGAGGGCCACCAAAGAGGGGCTCAGATGAGGAGTGGGGTCGCCCGTCTCTCTGCCTCGTCTTGGACGCCCCCAGACTGTGCTGGGCGTCGCCTCAGCCTAAGACTCTCCGACTGCCGAGGGAGACCTCTCTCAGCCAGACGCACTGCAGCCTACAAGTGGGGACATAAACACCAGGGGAAGCCACTGAGCCCCGGGAACGCTGCATCCTGCCTGACCCACACGAACCAGCTGGCTGGGGAGCAGGGTTCCAGGGCGAGCTCACAGCTAGAGGCAGTGATCGTGGAACAGGACACAGGGGCCCGGGGAACAGAGAGGCAGGAAATCTCAGCCTCGGGGAGGAGGAGGAGGAGGAGGAGGGAGAACCACTAACTTGTGGATGCCAGAGAAACCAAGCATCCCTGCGAGGAGAGCGCAGTCCCTGTGGGCAGCCAGTCCTGCGGCTCGTGACCCACGAGGCTAAAGCAGTGACCTTTCCACCCGCGCTTTTATGCCCACCTGGGCTTCTCCGTCTCACAGTTGGACATGGGGACCAGCAGGACCGTCCTGCCCACCCTGAGACGCTGTGGACGCCTGTCCTCCCCGGAGCTGTGGCAAACAAAAACTCCTCCCGCTGTGATGTGCGCCCTGGAAGACAGGGTTGCCCTGGTGGATTTTCTCTACCGTAACCAAAAGTGCTACCTGTGATTCAGGAAATTCGGCAAATCTAAAGCGCAGGGTAGCCGTCCTTTTAGGACATTTAGGGAACTTCGAGAAGAAATCACCAGAAGCACTGCAAGAGGGCATTTCTTAAAAACCAGCACATCACCCCGAATCGCAGGGTGCGGCTGTGCTGGTCCACCTGCCCACAGGTAAGTCAGGCGGGGCTGGGGATGGAGCGGCTCGGGCGGGCTCGGCACAGAACCAAGGGCCACAGGAAGGATTTGGACGTCGTCTCCAGCGAGCCCAGGCCCCGCAGAGGTGCTCTCTGACTTGGTCCTTGGGGCGGGACCACCGAGCCTTACTCCAGCGTGCACCCCTTCCTGTCCTTAACGAGGTGGAGAGGATTGAGGGTGACACAAAATAAGGCTAAAGGAACTGACATCACCTGCCTGTTATGTCCGTTTCCCCTGTCCTACAGGAGAACTGTAACTCCTAGGTGCTCGGTGCTCGGCCTCCGGGCAGAGATCCCGACCTGGCTGTCCCTTCCCGCATGCCCCACGCTCTGTCAGCCCCCGATATGGTCACTGGCCCTCCCTGGACTCTGCCTGCACTGCCTGGAAGGCGCACCACGTCCAGACGTCTCCAAGCCTTCCCAGGGAGAAGAACCACCACGCACAGCTTCCCGTGAAGGCGGTCAAGGCAGCGCCCGAGCCACGTGTGAACCGCCTGGGACTCTACAGGAAATCAGGCCTGCACTGCGTTCATTACCAGAGCTGCTGGGCAGAGAGGGACAGGCGCAGTGGCCGATCAATGCCTGACTTACTGCCCGCTCTGCCGGGCGTGCTCGGCTCGCACAGCACGCGCTGACTTCTGGGGTGGACAGGCAGGGACCCCGCCCATCTCACCCATCCGCCCAACCTCCAGGCAGAGGAGCAGGAGGCAGCTCTGGCCTCAGCCAGCTGGAGCCTCGAGCCCTGCAGAGCACGCAGAGCAAAGCGCCACAGCCCGGCACCGTCCAGCTGTGCTCCTGGCAGAGCTCTTCCCGTGCTCAGCCGTTCTCATCAGCTGAGCCTCAAAACTGGAAAACGCTCCCAAGGCTGAGGATGAACAGGGTAAAAATTCCCACCGGAAACGTCAGCCCTTTGAACACTGGCGGTTTTGAATCCAGTTCTGTGCTACTTAAACAAGCAGGACCAGAGCCAAATCTGAACGGAACAGAGATTCTCAAGAGGAGGCGTTCAGCAGCTTAGTGAGGTGCGGGCCGCCTCCGGTGGGGGTGGACCGGAGCTGCCCCTGGCCGCATCACCTGGGTGTCCCGCCCTGAATATAATCAAAACCGATCCTGGGGAGGGGTCTGGATCTCCACCTCACAGGGCAGCGACAGTGAGTGAACCCTCAATTAAGAGGCAAGGTTTGCAGCCGAGGTTTATCCCGACCACCAAGGCTGGAGCCTCTTCCCCACTGCAGCCCACGGGAGCATGCTGGGCTGCACCCCAGGCCAGGCCTCCTAGCTCCCCGTCTCAGCCAAGTCATTACTCCACTGGCCTCCCGCACCCCACATCCAGGTACTTACGGGGCGCTGCACTCCTCACTGGCTCCCAGCACCAGCCCGGGCCAGCCTGGGCCTCCCCTTCCTGCCTGAGACTGTTCACTTATTCATGGGCTGCGAGCTGAGCCAACCAGAACGCTTTGTGTCAGCTGAATAGGACGGTAATTCAATCTGCGAATGGGAACCGCGCGGCGGGCACAGCAGCGGGTCACACACAGGGCGAGGGGCACAAAGCTGGTGGAGCCGGGGTGGAACTTGCACTGTGACAGTGCCCTGGGGTCTCAGGACTCTGCTGCCCTCAAATAACTCCCTGAGCCGAGAGACCCACAGGAGGTGGGGCACACCCCCACTCTCCTGCAAGGAGGGGCTCCAGCCTTTGAGAATCCACCAGGAAAACATCAGGCAGCCATCCAGGAGTTAATCTCTCTCAAGTGTTTACTGTGCTTCCCCGTGGTGAGCTCTGTCTCAGGGCCTCCTCTGTCCTCTCTCGGCCCCAGAGGTTCCTAATCCTACCGGGAGCCCCTGAGCTCGTCCAATCAACCCACCGACAACTACAATGCCTTCATAG